CTGCCCTGCCCGGCCCTGCCCTGCCCTGCCCTGCAGGGCGGCCCTGCCCTGCCCTGCCCTGCCCGGCCCTGCCCTGCCCTGCAGGGCGGCCCTGCCCTGCCCTGCCCTGCCCTGCCCTGCCCTGCCCTGCCCTGCAGGGCGGCCCTGCCCTGCCCTGCCCTGCCCTGCAGGGCGGCCCTGCCCTGCCCTGCCCTGCCCTGCAGGGCGGCCCTGCCCTGCCCTGCCCTGCAGGGCGGCCCTGCCCTGCCCTGCCCTGCCCTGCAGGGCGGCCCTGCCCTGCCCTGCCCTGCAGGGCGGCCCTGCTCTGCCCTGCCCTGCCCTGCCCTGCCCTGCAGGGCGGGCCCTGCCCTGCCCTGCAGGGCGGCCCTGCCCTGCCCTGCCCGGCCCTGCCCTGCCCTGCCCTGCCCTGCAGGGCGGCCCTGCCCTGCCCTGCCCTGCTGGGCGGCCCTGCCCTGCCCTGCCCTGCCCTGCAGGGCGGCCCTGCCCTGCCCTGCCCTGCCCTGCAGGGCGGCCCTGCCCTGCCCTGCCCTGCCCTGCCCTGCCCTGCAGGGCGGCCCTGCCCTGCCCTGCAGGGCGGCCCTGCCCTGCCCTGCGGCCCTGCCCTGCCCTGCCCTGCCCGGCCCTGCCCTGCCCTGCCCTGCCCGGCCCGGCCCTGCCCTGCCCTGCAGGGCGGCCCTGCCCCTGGCCCTGCCCTGCAGGGCGGCCCTGCCCTGCCCTGCCCTGCCCTGCCCTGCCCTGCCGGGCGGCCCTGCCCTGCAGGGCGGCCCTGCCCTGCCCTGCCCTGCAGGGCGGCCCTGCCCTGCCCTGCCCTGCGGCCCTGCCCTGCCCTGCCCTGCAGGGCGGCCCTGCCCCTGCCCTGCCCTGCAGGGCGGCCCTGCCCTGCCCTGCCCTGCCCTGCCCTGCCCTGCCCTGCAGGGCGGCCCTGCCCTGCCCTGCCCTGCCCTGCAGGGCGGCCCTGCCCTGCCCTGCCCTGCAGGGCGGCCCTGCCCTGCCCTGCCCTGCCCTGCAGGGCGGCCCTGCCCTGCCCGGCCCTGCCCTGCCCTGCCCTGCCCTGCAGGGCGGCCCTGCCCTGCCCGGCCCTGCCCTGCAGGGCGGCCCTGCCCTGCCCGGCCCTGCCCTGCCCTGCCCTGCCCTGCAGGGCGGCCCTGCCCTGCCCTGCCCGGCCCTGCCCTGCCCTGCCCTGCAGGGCGGCCCTGCCCTGCCCGGCCCTGCCTTGCCCTGCCCTGCCCTGCAGGGCGGCCCTGCCCTGCCCTGCCCTGCCCTGCAGGGCGGCCCTGCCCTGCCCTGCCCTGCCCTGCAGGGCGGCCCTGCCCTGCCCTGCCCTGCAGGGCGGCCCTGCCCTGCCCTGCAGGGCGGCCCCTGCCCTGCCCTGCCCTGCCCTGCAGGGCGGCCCTGCCCTGCCCTGCGGCCCTGCCCTGCCCTGCCCTGCCCGGCCCTGCCCTGCCCTGCCCGGCCCGGCCCTGCCCTGCCCTGCAGGGCGGCCCTGCCCTGCCCTGCCCTGCAGGGCGGCCCTGCCCTGCCCTGCCCTGCAGGGCGGCCCTGCCCTGCCCTGCCCTGCCCTGCCCTGCCCTGCAGGGCGGCCCTGCCCTGCCCTGCCCTTGCAGGGCGGCCCTGCCCTGCCCTGCCCTGCAGGGCGGCCCTGCCCTGCCCTGCCCTGCGGCCCTGCCCTGCCCTGCCCTGCAGGGCGGCCCTGCCCTGCCCTGCCCTGCCCTGCCCTGCCCTGCCCTGCCCTGCAGGGCGGCCCTGCCCTGCCCTGCCCTGCCCTGCCCTGCCCTGCAGGGCGGCCCTGCCCTGCCCTGCCCTGCCCCTGCCCTGCCCTGCCCTGCAGGGCGGCCCTGCCCTGCCCTGCCCTGCCCTGCCCTGCAGGGCGGCCCTGCCCTGCCCTGCCTGCCCTGCCTGCCCTGCCCTGCCCGCAGGGCGGCCCTGCCCTGCCCTGCCCTGCCCTGCAGGGCGGCCCTGCCCTGCCCTGCAGGGCGGCCCTGCCCTGCCCTGCCCTGCCCTGCCCTGCCCTGCCCTGCAGGGCGGCCCAGCGCCGTGCCCGGCCCTGCCCTGCCCTGCCCTGCAGGGCGGCCCTGCCCTGCCCTGCCCTGCCCTGCCCGGCCCTGCCCTGCAGGGCGGCCCTGCCCTGCCCTGCCCGGCCCTGCCCTGCCCTTCCCTGCCCTGCAGGGCGGCCCTGCCCTGCCCTGCCCTGCCCGGCCCTGCCCTGCCCTGCCGGGCAGCCCTGCCCTGCCCTGCCCTGCAGGGCGGCCCTGCCCTGCCCTGCCCTGCCCTGCAGGGCGGCCCTGCCCTGCCCTGCCCTGCCCGGCCCTGCCCTGCCCTGCCCTGCAGGGCGGCCCTGCCCTGCCCTGCCCTGCCCTGCAGGGCGGCCCTGCCCTGCCCTGCCCTGCCCTGCCTTGCAGGGCGGCCCTGCCCTGCCCTGCCCTGCAGGGCGGCCCTGCCCTGCCCTGCCCTGCAGGGCGGCCCTGCCCTGCCCTGCCCTGCCCTGCCTTGCAGGGCGGCCCTGCCCTGCCCTGCCCTGCCCTGCCTTGCAGGGCGGCCCTGCCCTGCCCTGCCCTGCCCTGCCCTGCCCTGCAGGGCGGCCCTGCCCTGCCCTGCCCTGCCCTGCCCTGCCCTGCAGGGCGGCCCTGCCCTGCCCTGCCCTGCCCTGCCCTGCCCTGCAGGGCGGCCCTGCCCTGCCCTGCCCTGCCCTGCAGGGCGGCCCTGCCCTGCAGGGCGGCCCTGCCCTGCCCTGCCCTGCCCTGCAGGGCGGCCCTGCCCTGCCCTGCCCTGCGGCCCTGCCCTGCCCTGCCCTGCAGGGCGGCCCTGCCCTGCCCTGCCCTGCAGGGCGGCCCTGCCCTGCCCTGCCCTGCCCTGCCCTGCCCTGCCCTGCCCTGCCCTGCAGGGCGGCCCTGCCCTGCCCTGCCCTGCCCTGCCCTGCAGGGCGGCCCTGCCCTGCCCTGCCCTGCAGGGCGGCCCTGCCCTGCCCTGCCCTGCCCTGCAGGGCGGCCCTGCCCTGCCCGGCCCTGCCCTGCCCTGCCCTGCCCTGCAGGGCGGCCCTGCCCTGCCCGGCCCTGCCCTGCAGGGCGGCCCTGCCCTGCCCGGCCCTGCCCTGCCCTGCCCTGCCCTGCAGGGCGGCCCTGCCCTGCCCGGCCCTGCCCTGCCCTGCCCTGCCCTGCAGGGCGGCCCTGCCCTGCCCTGCCCTGCCCTGCAGGGCGGCCCTGCCCTGCCCTGCCCTGCCCTGCAGGGCGGCCCTACCCTGCCCTGCCCTGCCCTGCAGGGCGGCCCTGCCCTGCCCTGCCCTGCAGGGCGGCCCTGCCCTGCCCTGCAGGGCGGCCCCTGCCCTGCCCTGCCCTGCCCTGCAGGGCGGCCCTGCCCTGCCCTGCGGCCCTGCCCTGCCCTGCCCTGCCCGGCCCTGCCCTGCCCTGCCCGGCCCGGCCCTGCCCTGCCCTGCAGGGCGGCCCTGCCCTGCCCTGCCCTGCAGGGCGGCCCTGCCCTGCCCTGCCCTGCAGGGCGGCCCTGCCCTGCCCTGCCCTGCAGGGCGGCCCTGCCCTGCCCTGCCCTGCCCTGCAGGGCGGCCCTGCCCTGCCCTGCCCTGCAGGGCGGCCCTGCCCTGCCCTGCCCTGCAGGGCGGCCCTGCCCTGCCCTGCCCTGCCCTGCAGGGCGGCCCTGCCCTGCCCTGCCCTGCCCTGCAGGGCGGCCCTGCCCTGCCCTGCCCTGCAGGGCGGCCCTGCCCTGCCCTGCACTGCAGGGCGGCCCTGCCCTGCCCTGCCCTGCAGGGCGGCCCTGCCCTGCCCTGCAGGGCGGCCCTGCCCTGCCCTGCCCTGCGGCCCTGCCCTGCCCTGCCCTGCAGGGCGGCCCTGCCCTGCCCTGCCCTGCCCTGCCCTGCCCTGCAGGGCGGCCCTGCCCTGCCCTGCCCTGCAGGGCGGCCCTGCCCTGCCCTGCCCTGCCCTGCAGGGCGGCCCTGCCCTGCCCTGCCCTGCCCTGCCCTGCCCTGCAGGGCGGCCCTGCCCTGCCCTGCCCTGCCCTGCAGGGCGGCCCTGCCCTGCCCTGCCCTGCCCTGCCCGGCCCTGCCCTGCAGGGCGGCCCTGCCCTGCCCTGCCCGGCCCTGCCCTGCCCTTCCCTGCCCTGCAGGGCGGCCCTGCCCTGCCCTGCCCTGCCCGGCCCTGCCCTGCCCTGCCGGGCAGCCCTGCCCTGCCCTGCCCTGCCCTGCAGGGCGGCCCTGCCCTGCCCTGCCCTGCCCTGCCCTGCCCTGCAGGGCGGCCCTGCCCTGCCCTGCCCTGCCCGGCCCTGCCCTGCCCTGCCCTGCCCTGCCCTGCAGGGCGGCCCTGCCCTGCCCTGCCCTGCCCTGCCTTGCAGGGCGGCCCTGCCCTGCCCTGCCCTGCAGGGCGGCCCTGCCCTGCCCTGCCCTGCCTTGCAGGGCGGCCCTGCCCTGCCCTGCCCTGCAGGGCGGCCCTGCCCTGCCCTGCCCTGCAGGGCGGCCCTGCCCTGCCCTGCCCTGCCCTGCCTTGCAGGGCGGCCCTGCCCTGCCCTGCCCTGCCCTGCCCTGCCTTGCAGGGCGGCCCTGCCCTGCCCTGCCCTGCCCTGCCCTGCCCTGCAGGGCGGCCCTGCCCTGCCCTGCCCTGCCCTGCAGGGCGGCCCTGCCCTGCCCTGCCCTGCCCTGCCTTGCAGGGCGGCCCTGCCCTGCCCTGCCCTGCCCTGCAGGGCAGCCCTGCCCTGCCCTGCCCTGCCCTGCCCTGCCCTGCCCTGCCCTGCCCTGCCCTGCCCTGCAGGGCTGCCCTGCCCTGCCCTGCCCTGCCCTGCCCTGCCCTGCCCTGCAGGGCTGCCCTGCCCCTGCCCTGCCCCTGCCCCTGCCCTGCCCTGCCCTGCCCCTGCCCCTGCCCTGCCCTGCAGGGCTGCCCTGCCCCTGCCCCTGCCCTGCCCTGCAGGGCTGCCCTGCCCCTGCCCCTGCCCTGCCCTGCAGGGCTGCCCCTGCCCCTGCCCCTGCCCCTGCCCCTGCCCTGCCCTGCCCTGCCCTGCCCTCAAAGAAGACAACTTTCCCGGGCCAACTGCACCGGGAGCAGCAGGATCAGGGGCAGTAGCCTGGGCACGAGAAGCACCCCGGACACCGCTGCCCCCGGGGCAGCCGGCCCCCACAGAGGAAACACTGGTTTACTAATGAGACTAAGATAACAAGTTAAGAAACAAATTAAGCATAAACTGCTGATAATTAAAAATCTAAATAAAACACACTGATAAAAGATAACCAAGTAGAAACATATAATTACATTTATAAAAAAAATATTGTACAACAGATTGATAATACTGGTTAAAACTAATAATTATTACAAGTTAAAATTAATATTTAAGAAAATGTGTCATTTAAGTAAAAGAGTAAGTAATAAAACACTGATAAAATATATAAAAGATGGTAAAACAGGCTACAATAGATCAAAATCAATTAAAAGCTATACTAAAAAGGTGAGTCTTGAGCCTGGCCTTAAAAACAAGAACACTCTCTACGGTCCTGAGGTCCTCTGGCAGACCGTTCCAGAGGCGAGGGCCATATAACTGGAAGGATGCCTCGCCTTGGGAGTGTGTCCTGGCTTTTGGAATGACGAGGACATGGCTGCTAGAGGAGCGCAGGGACCGCGAAGGCTCGTATTTATGAAGCAGTTCTGAGAGATAAGAAGGCCCAAGACCATTAAGACATTTAAAAACCATTAAAAGAACCTTAAAATCGACCCTGAAACATACAGGAAGCCAATGCAGCTTGTTTAAGACAAGTGTAATGTGCTCCTGCCTCCTGGTCTTCACCAGGACACGAGCAGCTGAATTTTGTAGGAGTTGTAAACCTGGGGTACTTTTTTTGGGAAGACCAGATAGCAGGGCATTACAGTAATCAAATCTACCGGTGATGAAAGCGTGCATCAGCGTCTCTGTATCGGCCAGAGAGAGAAAGGGGCTGAGAGGGCTCCAGCGGTGATCCTGCGGAGCGGTGGGGTCCGGGAGCTGTCGGGAGGAGTCTGGATCCAGGGCTCTAAACCTGTTGGTCAGTGGCAGGCGGGAGGGAGGAGAGCGGTGGCAAGCGCCCCATGCTCCCCCACCGCAGCTGGGCGCGACTGTGGACCAGACACCTGACACGACTGGAGTGGAGCTGGTTGGGGCTTTAGGATTCGCCCCCTGCTGAAACCAGCGATCGTCCTCTGCAGCAGGGGAAGCAAGGACATTCGGAACCCCAAGTCCAGTCAGCGACCCTATCGTGGATCCCCGCTCCATAACTGGAGGGGAACCGTATCAGCCAGTTGGACGCTAGTGGCGGCGGAGAATGTCTGGCCCAGGATAACAACAGAGTTGCTTGTATTTTCCTGGGTCTGCTAAAGAGCTGTAATCCTCTGTTTAGGATACATTTTTGTCTACTGAAACAGAGAGAGGATACACTGGAGGACGTTTCTAGGCTGGCTTGGGAACACACTAGGATTTGCCTGAAGAAACTGGCCCAAATGGCTGGGGGAGGGAGGTTTGGACTTCTGTGCTGAAGTTTCTTCCCGTGACCCAGCCCCTGATAAGTGGAAGACAATGGGAGGACAGATGGATACACAGAACTACGGCTAGCAGCACAGGCAAACTTACCACTATGACCCCGACTGTCTGATTAGCATGAGTGAGTATCTCACCATCGGGAACGCCTTCTGCATGACCTAGTCAGAAACTTAAATATCATTACGCCAGCCACAGTTAGCTGGCATAGGTGACGTCTATGAGAGGAGGAGCCAGACTCTCACCCTACAAATAGGGCTGGTATAGCTTCACTCATCAAAGAACAAGCTGACCTCTTCGCTCATCGGCAAGGAGGGTGGTCTCATGAGACATGGGTTTATAGTCATAACCTTGAGTTCTCTTTCATTCTAGCATTCATTTCGTGTCTCGCTATGGGGAAAAATACTGACCCCCGGATAGCCAGCTGTTACAATGACAATTGCTACCAGTGACCCATCAGCAAGAGGCCTCTACATGAGTGCCTGCACTAAAAGACTGAATGCGCCAAAACAGGAGCCGTCACATCACGCTTGTAAAATTTAGCGAATGTGTTGGAAGAAGCCCTGGTGCATGTAGACCAGACGGGGCTTGGAGGCCCTTGCTGGAGTGTGCCTCCACAATCCAGTGGGAAAAACGCTGTTTTGACACAGGTTTCCCAGCATGTGGTTTTGCCCAGGACACAAATAACTGGTTTCCATGAAACCTCAGTGTGCACACCGGAAACAAGGTATGCAGATGTCTCTGCTCCTCTGTAGTAAAAGGAGCAGGCCAACGTCCTGAACAGCAGGGGCGTGTCCAGGGGGTGGCCTGGGGTAGCACATGCCACCCTTGGAATCTGACTGGCCACCCCACTGAATTTCCTATAAATACTTGTCCACAAAAAGCTTGGGGTAAAAAAGAAAAAGCATAGCCATTGGTGCCAACCATGCACAAGGAAGTGCGCTACTTGGGCCACCCCATTTTAAAAGATCTGGCCATGTCACTGCTGAACAGCTCTATCTCCTGGAGAAATCACAGCACTACCCCAAGGGCCGTGACATTTTTACTTTGAGAGGAACCTAGAAAAATGTGTTTATGGTTTGTTTGGTTATGAGAAACACTAGGACGGGCTTATTTTAAGCCCCGCATATCACCCACCAGCCACGCCCACCTGCTCTCCCGTCCAGATCCACGCTGAAGTCGGAGAACTCGTGACGTTTGCTGACAGAGCAGATATGAGTTCCGATGTCCTTGGTCTGGACTTGCTGGATGATGAGTGAGATGTTTCCGGGTCGGTAATGGATGGTGTACCCGGTGCTGCAGTTCTGGAAAGATTTGTGCTTAATGTAATGACACAGCAGCTCATTAGCGGGACTCCTCCACTGGACCGAGAGCTGAGAAATGTTGGTCCGGCTCTCATATTGGTAGGAACACGGCAAAGTGACAAGCTGACCAGGTCGACTGAACACCTTCACAGAACTGCCTGAAGACACAAAAGTAGAAGGTGACTGACCAGAACCACACACAACCCCCCTAAACTGAGACACAAGTTTATAATGGATATATGCATGGACATAATTTTCACTTTAGAAGTGGGGGTGTGTGTGTGGGGGGGGGGGGGGGGGGTATCTTTACAGTATGCTCTAATGGGAAACAGACTTCAACACAAACGGTTGTTTTCTGCTTGGTTCTAGAGCTCAACCAGTGTCAATTTAATATAGCGTAATATTGTTTTTGGATGGTAAAAAGTGCAGGGGTCAAAACTTGACTTTGGAAAAAGTGGGGGGGACATGTCGGCCCCCTCCCCCAAAATTACATCCATGGATATGAGCCTCAGCTCAAACAGCTGCTAGGTTAAAAAGATGCTGATGTTTCTACTGGGTCTGATGGAGGAGATCATTAAAAACAACCTAACTTCCTGTTTGGAGCTGTAATGTCTACTTGATAAAGAAAACTGTGTACGACTCTCAGATTAACCAGATTCTTTTTACCTTTTATGGTATTGTAAAATAATGTTTGGTGCATCCATATTATTGTGTATCCAGGAAATTATTTAGTAAAAGTTGCAGTTACTGAATTTAGGGGGTTTAGGTTTACCTTCTCCAACCAGATGTGACAGAACCAGTCCAAGGTAGAGCGCAGCCGTCCCGATCTGATCCAAAGCTCTCGTCCACATTTGTTAAAGAATCAACCCGACAACTGGATTCAGTCTGGGAGCTGGGAGGACTCAGAGGTCTGCAGAGATGCTAGCCCGGTATCACTTTTATTTTCTGAGTTGGGTCAGTTTACAAGCTTGGAGTGTTGGATTTCTGCAGGAAACCTGCTGGAACAAAATGCTTCAGAGAAGTTCAGGTACAAGGAAGGACCAAGTCAGTCTCAATCCAATAGAGCACGTTTGGGATGTGGTGGAACGGGAGATTCGGATCATGGATGTACAGCCGACAAATATGCAGCAACCGCGTGATCATGTCAATATGGATCAAAATCTGAGGAATGTTTCCAGTACCTTGTTGAACCTATGCCACGAAGGATTACGACAGTTCTGCAGGCAAAAGGGGGTCTAACCTGGTACTAGGAAGGTGTACCCAATTAATTGGCCTGCGTGTGTGTGTGTGAGTGTGTGTGTGAGAGAGAGAGAGAGAGTCTGTGAGCTGCCTGTAAAACAGCATTAGATAAAAGATAAAAGGAACTGAATAGGTGATGAAACCACAAACAGCAGATTTTATTGAAACAGGTTTGATCCAGCAGAAGTTCTGTACTAATTCATGTGGATAATTTACACAAAATAACACACTGAACACATGTTTACTTACGTAAACACGTGCCTACACTTATACACAAATTTTTCACAGAATAAATCATTTAATCTGCATTCTACCACTAGGGGGAGACACCTGTTTGTGTTTGACATCAATAGATAGAAACTCCTCAGTGGTAAATATTTGGTGTAAAACCAGGTGCCTGAATAATAGCTGGATTCTAATCTCATGTGCAGCTTTGTGCTGAGTCACATTACCAGAAGCATCTACGCCCCTGTTTGAAGGTGGGTGTGAGAACATCGCATCAGTCTTTCTGCAGCAGTCCATTGATTCATTTAATAAAAACACACCTCCATGCCGACACAATCCATCACAGCTGCAGGTTCAACAGTTATATACAGTCTCTACTAGAGGTGCACCGAAATGAAAATTCCTGGCCCAAACCAAAAATGAGGAAAACCTACCGAAATAAACGATGGTCAATAATTGGAATCAAAGCATTTATGGCTATGATGTGCACTAACCTCACTAAAATCAAGGCATTGCAATAAATCAATTACAAAACCACAAATATATTACAGACATAACAATACACAATATAATTTCAAACTAAATGTTTCATTTGATCCCACTCGTGTACGTACATTAAATAATAAATTATAAACACATTCTAAAAATCAATTATAACTGAGAACTGTAAAATTAACCCTTTGTGATATGATAGAAGATAGTGGAGATGTGTAACTTCAATCTGACTTTTGGGCGCATCTATTGAAATTTTCAGAGTATAGAGAGTGAAAACTGCCCCCGTCGGGAGGCTCCTGACTGGGGAGAGGAGGCGAGGAGCAGAGCGGAGCGGAGCTCACAGAGGGCAAACATAATATTAGAGAGGGAATGATGGAGTCTGTGTGCTTTATGAGAGTAAACACTTCACACATGATCCAAAGCTTATTTCAGTGTTCAAGACATGTTTGGTGTAGAAAGGATGGTGAAAACACAGCTAATAGTGAGAGACGTAGCAGGAATGTAAAAGAAAAAAAAGCCAGGCAGACGCACGCGATAGATGTGAAAACGACAGTAAACGTGCATCATGACTGATACGAAAAGCATTCGTAGTAAAACTGCTTTACTAAGAGGGGAAAACTTACAGTTTTAAATCAGAATTTACTATTTTTATGAAGCAAAGAACAAACTGGCACGAGGGCGGAGCGAGATGAACCGAAAACTAAGTTCAGCTGTTTAATCTGTGTTACGTGAGTTGATGCAGCTCTGTCAATAATACCACCCAACTCAGACAAAGGGAAATGGTAAATAGTCTGTATTTGATGTAGCGCCTTCTAGAGTCCTGGAACCCCCAAGGCGCTTTACAACACAGTCATTCACCCATTCACACACACATTCACACACTGGTGGGCTGCCCTGGAACGCACCGACAGAGGCGAGGCTGCCGAGCACTGGCGCCACCGGTCCCTCCGACCACCACCAGCAGGCAAGTGTCTTGCCCAAGGACACAACAACAGCGACAGACTGAGCGGGGCTCAAACCTGCAACCTTTCGGTTACGGGGAAGACAGTAATCCAGGCTGTCAGGGCAAACCTTGGGTTTCAGCACCTGTTTGACAACACCGATGAGTTTACAACTTCCCTATTCAACTTATTCCTGGGCCAGTTGATGTAGAAACGATTATTCGAGCAGCATTCAGTCAGGTTTCTCACAGCAGTTTATTTGCACCACTTAACAGTAAATCCAAAGCGAAGATATTAAAGGCGCATTAAGCAACTTTTTCATATTTTAAAATAATTTTGAGACAGTTGCTAAAATTACTTTTTACAGGGTGAAGGAAAAGTCTCTCAGCCCCCTCTGCCCTTTGTGAGCAGGGAACCCGGTTAGCTGCCCTGAAGTCTCACAGTCACACCTTATGACAATCCATGTTTACGCCTCAGAATAGATGAGCTATGCCTGGTTAGCATTTATTACAACCTGTTTGTCATGTTGGAGCCTCAGAGAAATGATTCATCTGATAAAGCTAAACAAATACAAAAATTGTCAAACAAGAGGAGTTTTCTGAATCACAATAACTCAAGCCCCCTTCAGACAGGCCATGCAAAACGGAAATGTTCGGGACGCTGTCCTTAAGACCTTTGTGTCTGAATACAAACATCCAGATAAACGTTTCCGTAATTAAACCGGACGAAGCCCCTAGTAACAGGATCGGACTCGTCACGGACAGGGTGGCTGCTTCAGACTGGTGAGGTCGAGTTCCAGACAGGGAGGAGGGGGAGGAGGGAACCAGGGGACGCTGTGTGCACCTAGATAGCTCGCTCCTGTAGCATGCGGCGAACCATGGCAGCTCGCCTCCTACGGTACAGTCTCCTAGACGCGCGACGGGGCGCTTCACACCGCTTCCGTGATTCCTTTATTAACCACTGAGCTTCATCATCCAGGTCTCTTATGCGTCTTTGTGTGCGCAGAATTATGCTTAACACAAGTCAGATCAGTGAGAGGAATTCTATCTCTTCGTCGGCCATGTTTGACTGAATGGCTTTGTTTGGGTAAATGATGCATGCACGCTCGCCGCACTATGTTTACGCAATATCCGGGTACAGCCTTCCCACCCCCTCCCCCTCAGACATCTGGAACTTTTCCCTGCTGTGTGAAGGCAGCCGAAAGGACAAGTTCCGGTACAAAAGTCGTGTGTCTGAAAACACAGTTCTGGTTAAAAACCGGACTGAATTGTCCGCACATATTCCAGAATGTCAATCTGAAAAGGGCTTTAGAGACATGATTCCTGCATGTTTTAGATCGTGAACACAGCTGATTTATTTGATTTAATGATGAACTGCTCCTGTAGAAACTAATAAAAACCGAGGAGACATTCCTGCAGTTAGATCCAGATGTTAAAAACACAAGTACACAGCGATGATGAAGATTGTTTTAGCATCTGCGGTTTCTCCCACAGCCTGAGATGTGACTGTTGATGGAGGAAAGAGTTTTTTTCTCTTAAATCCTGGTTGGATGCATTTCTCTGAACATAGGCTGTTTGTGAAATTATCTAAAATGGCAATGTTATTAGTAACTTTTACACAGAACCACACCTCAGAATGACTAAAATGTCCCTTTAAAAGGAAACAGCAGACAACAGTAAACCAGACCTAGAAAAGTAAAATTTACTTTGCAACTTTTTCAAATTTTTAAATCATTTTATAGAGGCAGTATGCTCTAAAATGACCCTTTACTGGGTTAACGAAAGGCCACTCAGCCCCTATTGCCCCCTGTGGCCAAAATATTCAACTTGCAACTTCAGAGTGGCGGGCCGCTCGGTTGGGGAAAAAAATGGAGCGGACATACCTGGCGCTGCAGTCTGGTTCCAGCACGTTTCCTGCATGTTTTATGTCATGAACACAGCTTCTGTAAACACTAAGGAAGGTTGGGGAAACGTTTCAGCTGTGAGATTAAGGTGTAAAAAAGACGAACGCACAGCAAGGTTTTTGCTTTCGGTTCTACAAACTGACACTAGAGGGTGCTGAAAGCAAGCCAAAACTGCCTAGGTCCCCTTTAAGCTGAACCAAATGATGCTGATTGCAAAACCAAAGGGAGAAAAACCTACAGAGCAGAAATCACGTATTTACAGTCCGTTCCATCCCGCCTGCTGAGGAGGAGGTGGTTACTGGATGCCTCTGAATAAACACATCGCAAACACCATGGCGAAGAGCTGGAAGAACGAGACACAGGATCAGGAGGAGGACGCAAATCTTGTAGTAAAAAGACATTCCGTCATTTCATCACTTCAAAAAGAAAAATTGTTACATATTTGAAGGTAAAAGTGAGAAAAAAAGCTCCTACTTCGACAGCAAGAACTACGATGGCCAGAGCTCCGGCTGAGTAGATGTATGCCTCAAAGTATTCCACCATGGCTGAGTAGCAGCCCTGCACACACGCACACACACACACACACACACACACGCACGCACACACACACACGCACGCACACACACACACACACACACGCACACGCACACACACGTCCAGCTGTGAACGCAGCCTAACTCACATCAGTGTCGTGTTTATAAAACAAAGCAACACGCACATTTAGTCACACACTGCAGAGATCAGACTCAGAATGTGTGTGTATGCTGCTCCCAGTCTGACAGAACCTGTTCTGCGCACGCACACACACACACACACACACACACACACACACACACACACACACACACACACACACACACACACACACACACACACACACACACACAGAGTCAACAGGTGTTTTGAAGACGACTCTGTGCTCTTCTCACCTTGTTGTGTTGGAACGCTGCGCTGCTACTCATGCACTGCTCCACACCTGCGTCTCCAAGGTAACTGTTCCACTGGCAGCAGGTCTCCGGAACCATCTTGTTTGGGTTGAGGAGCCTGAAGAGGCTCTCATCAAAGTCCTCGGGTCCGCTCACGCCACAGCAGTCGAACTGTGAGGGAGGAAAATGGTGTTGATGACTTCATCAGACGTGTCGGGTTCAGAGACGGGGTATCTCACCGTCGTCATGATGACGTTCCACGTAGACGTGAAGACATCCGTGTTGTTCCGACCTTGGTAGTGACGTTTCAGCTCTCTGGAGAAATACTCTCTGGTTAACTGTGGGGACACAAAACGGGTCAGAACGACTGTCAGTGGCCTGATAGAAGATTCTGATCATCCATTTTAGACCCAACCTGATTTTAAAAAGAGAAAAGTTCCTGCTGTTAGAACCAGAACAGGATGATGACTCACATGCTCCCTGAAGAGGAATGCCAAGACGGCAGCAGCCAGCTCCGCCAGGAAGATGAAGAGGATCAGCATGAAGAACTGGGACAAAAACGAGACACAACGAGGCACCTCAGAGACCAAAATAGGTCCAAATAGTTTTACTGATCTCAGGTCTGCTGAGAACAGCAGATTAGCAGAAAGTCTGAGATTCCTGACCAGCATCGAAAAGTGGGAACACATCATACCCGTCTTGGCCAATCTGCAAGGCTTCCAGTTTCTCTAAGAGATCAAGATACTTGTTTTTGTTTTCAAGTCTCTGCAGGGCTGCGCTCCAAGATATTTGACTTGCTCACCCGGTATAAACCATCTGGTGCGCTTAGGTCACCACAGCATGACCTTCTAGTAGCTCCAAGCAGAGCCGTGTCCAGGACTTTTAAAATGGGGTGGCCCATGTGGGGCACTTGTTTATTCATGGGCGGCACCAATGGTTATGCTTATTTATTCATTTACACAAATCGTTTATTTATTTATTTACTTTCTAGTGAATTTTTGAGTTTCACATTGCACAATCACCATTTTTTTCCCTCTTCATCTTCTACTTTTGTGGTGGTTGGCAAGTCACTTCTTGTTGCATTACTGCCACCAACTGGAGTTGAGTGGGACTCTAAATATTATGTATGTGAATATGAAAAAATATTAAATAATATTAATACTACATACCTGGGCTAGAAAACAAGGTGAAAGGTGCATGCAACCACACACTATTTTGGAGTTTACAACCCAAGCCTTTTGTCGATAATGTTAAGTCAATTTAAACTGGAACTTAGTGGGGTGGCACCTGGGATGGCCAATCAGATTCTAAGGGTGGCATGTGCTACCCCAGGCCACTCCCTGGACACGCCCCTGGCTCCAAGAGCAAAATGCTCAACTAGAGGCGGCAGGGCTTTTTCGGTTTTGGCCCCCAGCCTATGGAATGGTCGTCCACTCAAGGTCCGTCAAGCACCCTCACTGCCGATTTCTAAGATTCGGATGAAGACGCACTTTTTTTTTTTACAGTGGCGTTTCCTCAGCATGTGAGCTAGCCATATTTTAAAGATCATTTAGCTCATTTTGATCCAGTTTTGTTGCACTTAGTTACCTTGTTTTTATTTTATTATCATTCTTTGCTCTTATCTCCTGCTTTTATTCTATTTTTGATGACCACTGTATGGGTCTGTGATGTTTTTAAGTGTGTACAGCACTTTGGTTTGCCTTCTGGCAGTTGGAAGGTGCTATATGTACACAAAGTGATGATGATGAAAGTCTGGATGCTTGGGAGGAAAACAGAAAGAGATGAGCCTGGGTCGGGAGTTCTGGACCAGATCAGGATTCTGAGACTCACAAACAGAAGAAGACATTTGTTCTCCCGGATGGCTCCACAGCATCCTAGGAATCCCAGCAGAAACAGCATGGCCCCCATGGCCAGGATGACGTAGACCCCCATGAACAGCAGAGGGTTAACTGCTACGATCTCCCTGAAGCCCGTCGGGTCCACCAGAACCCACGCGCCCACACCCAGCAGGAAGGAGCCCCCGAGCTGTCAGAGACCAGGTTAGAGAAAGGTTCAGGTGAGGAAATGGTGACACCTGAGATGACCCGAGCCACAGAGATACTAAAGGATAATAAAGTTACATTAATAACTTTTTCCTTTTACCGAGTTAAAAATACAAATTTGTTTTTCACATGAATTCAATCTCAGGAAATGAATCAGATTAATGAATAAAAAAATCTCTGGATGTTGAAAAGTCAATCAAACTCACAAAGATGAAGAAGTTGAAGATAAACATCAGATACTTCATACAGCTAAGGCAGTCACCCTCCATGTCTGCAGCTCCCACCGAGACTCCGCCCACCACCTGCACACAGCAAGGAAAGTGTCACATTTAAATATTTCTAGCCGACGCAACGGTTGACTCTTCTTCATCTCTTTAATTGCTTTATGTTTTTGCGTTTAGAAAACGTTAACGGTCATCGTTCTGGATGATAAAATAAAACACGATTTTGCTGCGCAGTGACATAAAAACTTTGCTTTTGTCCCAAATTGTTTCTTTTTGTTCTGAATTGTTTGGAAAAAGCCGGAACATAAACCAGCTGATTGTTTAACTTTGCTGAAACTAATCTGTTGCAAAATGCATCAAAGACAGAGAAGCAATGGGTGAAGCTGGTCAGCAGTTTGAGTTCCATCAAAGATAACTAACACATGATTAATGATGAGTTTAGAAATGTCAGTCTGCAAGGATGAGCTCAGACCAGACCAGGGAGTAGGCCTGGGACGACAACCAATTATGCTGGATGATATATTGGCCTACAAACTATTGACAATAAACAATATTATTGGCATTGTGAAAATGACGAGAAGAAATGATCATTGCTGTTTTTTAAACTCTGTCGGTTAAAATGAAAACAAGAACGTCTGGCGCGACCTCTGCATGTGGGTACCGTTTCTGTACCTGGCTGCATGTAACCTGATACTAACACGTTTAATTAAGGCCCACCCAGAAATGAAAACCCAGCACAGCACGTGTGTTAGTTGTGAGAGGTTTGTGATTGGCTACTTTTTACATTTATTTTATTATAAATATGCTGAAGCAGTGCTACGTTTACTCAAGTGATGTATTTTCAGCAGCAATGAAACGTCTGAGCTTCGTTAGTTTCCTTCGAGCTTGTAGAGATCCACGTTGTTGATTGTAGACAATTTCTGAAAAAACTGATCTCTAGCCTCCTTCACAATTTTATTCCCGTAAGGAATGCGTTCATCCATTTTCTTTTTATCCCTCCTTTTGACTCATTCTGCTTCCACTTCAGCTGCGGCTTCCCCTAGCAACATGAGACACACACCTAAAATGTCGCTAAGGGGGTGTGGTTGACATGCAGGTCACGTGTCCGATCACACCGATATATCGAGGCTGGAAAAATTGAGTTCATTTTCATCTATCATACGATTAATTGATTATCATCCTTTCTTTCAGAACGAGATCATGGATATAAGCGGCTGAAATGAGGTTTCTCCGCAGGGTGGCTGGGCGCTCCCTTAGAGATTGGGTGAGAAGCTTGGTCATCCAGGAGGGGCTCATAGTAGACCCGCTGCTCCTCCGGAGCGAGAGAAGCCAGTCGAGGTGGCTCAGGCATCTACCATACCATACCATTTTATTTTAAAAAGTGCTTTCAACATGGCATTACAACCAACCAAAGCGCTGTACAAAATAAAACAACTAAAGCATAAATTAGGTGCGTCATGAAATCAATTAAAAAATAATACAACAAAGGAACGGTTCCAAACAAAAACAATAACAAATATTAAAAGTAGTCAGACCACAGATTTAAAATCGTAAAACCACAGTGGAAGGAGGTATGACAAATTGTTGATGCTAAGAATCGAAGGCCATGGAGAAGTAATGTGTTTTCAGCCTTGATTTAAAGATGGGAAGCGAGGGTGCTTGTCTAACCGGAAGAGGTAGTGAATTCCAAAGTTTTGGGGCACAGATACAAAAAGCCCTTACCCCGCAAGTCCTCAAACGCGCCTCAGGGACAGTGAGGAGCAGTTTTTCTGCAGACCTAAGAGCATGAGAGAGGTGGAAGAAATGGGAGGTGTTCGCTTAGAATGGGAGGGGCCTGACTGTTCAAACATTTGAATGCAAGTAGTAGGATTTTGAAGTTAATCCTGAACTGAACGGGCAACCAATGCAGTGTTTTCAGAATGGGTGTGATGTGCTGTCTTCTGTCAGCTCCAGTCAGAAACCGTGCAGCCGAATTCTGGACGAGTTGAAGTCCAGACAGAGTAGCTTTGCTGATGCCGTATAAACAGGAGTTGGAGTAGTCTAGCCGGGATGTGATGAAGGCATGAATCACTGACTCTAGAAGACGGACACTCGCCTAAGGTGGTAGAAACAGGACTTGATTGCGCTGTTGACCTGAGCGCCCATCTTCATAACCGGGTCTATTTTTACTCCCAGGTTTGAAGCAGAGGATGTTATATGAGGAGAGAGAGAGTGGAGGTCAGGTGACTGGGTCGCTCTAGCTGTGTCGGGCCTCAAAGCAATGACCTCTGTTTTAGAGTCATTTAGATAGAGGACGTTTTCTGCCAACCATTCCTTCCCATCATGGAGACAATCAAACAGAGGCTTAGTGGAGTCGGTGGGTTTAAGTGAAAAATAGATTTGGCAGTCGTCCGCGTATAGATGATATGAAACTGCCTGCATTCTGAGAATGGCTCCTAACGGAAGAATATATAGGGAAAACAGATCCTTGTGAGACCCCCCAGGGAAGGGAGGCGGACTGTGATGAGTAGTTGTCCTGCATGACCCTGATGGTCCTGCTAGAAAAGTAAGACCGGAACCAATCAAGGGCCAAACCTGAAATGCCAGCCCATGTGTGTAGTCTGGAGATCAGGATGTTATGATCGATCGTATCAAAAGCTGCTGATAGATCAAGAAGCACCAAAACCACATGGAAACCGGAGTCCAGAGCTATAAAAATGTCATTAAAAACACGTAGATGAGCAGTTTCTGTACTATGATGTTGTCTAAACCCAGACTGAAAAATGTCCATTACTTGATGGTCATTTAGACTTAATAGTAACTATTCGTGCACAATTTTTTCAAGTACCTTCAAGAGAAATGGTAGTTTGGAAATTGGTCAGAGATTTGAGAATTAGATCAAGACCTGGTTTTTCTAAATCGGCTGAATGACCGCATGTTTGAAGGCACGAGGAACTTCAGCCGAGGTCAAGCTACCATTAACATGTCCAGTACATTTTGGCCAATCAGAGGAAGCCCATCTTTCAGGAGACGAGGTGGTACCACATCACCCGGAGATCCAGATGGCATCACAGAAGCTATTATCTTTTGCCAAGGGGAACAGAGATGGGTTCAAAGCTGTTGAATAGCCCATGGGTAAGAATGGCAGGAATTGGAACACAGGAAGCAGGAGAAATTGCTGCTCTAATCTTACCAACCTTAACTATAAAAAACTGAAGGATTTGATTACAGAAGCCAGTATAGACAGAGGAGAAAATGGTTGCGGCAGGGGACAACATGGCATTTAGGGTTTTGTACAAAACACTTTGTTAGCATTAGCAGAAACAATACCAGCAAAAAAGCGATTTCTTGCACCCCGGACAGCTTATTGATAATTTGACCATGCATCTCATGCATTCAAAGCAAACAGTAAGCCCATCATTTTCCCATTTACGCTCCGGTCTTCTGCAATTTTGCCTGATAGAACAAGTACGCTCATTCAGCCACGGGTCCAGCTTGGATTTTGTTGACCTGGATTTTAATGGAGCTACAGTATCCATAGCAGCCAGGCATGTCTAGTTGGAATGCCTCCTGGACGCCTCCCTGGCGAGGTTTTCCGGGCATGTCCAACCGGGAGAAGACCTAAAGGAAGACCCAGGACACGCTGGAGAGACTATGTCCTTAGCATTCTCCCGGAGGAGCTGGCCCAATTGACTGGGGAAAGGGAAGTCTGGGTATCCCTGCTTGGGCTAGTGCCCCCGCGACCCGACCCTGGATAAGCGGCCGAAAATGGACGGATGGATCATCGTCCCAGCCCTACCCGTGAGGCAATCTGTGTGTGACACAAAAACACAACAAAGGTGGACATGGTGGTGAGTTTTAGGACAACTTCTGCTGTTTGGTTTATACTTTTCTGTTTTGTCTCCTCTTGCCACCTACACTCTCTCCAAATTGGTTATAACTCACCTTTAGTCTCCTAGCTTTAGTTTGGCTGTCTTTTCCCCAATCCTTCCCCCCAAAAAGTCTCCTACCACTTATTGTTTGCTGGATGACACGTCAGCAACATATCTTTTTGGAATATGTGGGGACGTGAAACTGACAGGCTGTTCTTGTGAGACAGAATGACACTCAGAGGGACGCTGGCAGCCTCTGAGGATGACATGTTCAATTCAATTCAATTCAAAGACACTTTATTAATCCCAGAGGGAAATTAGAGTTTCAGTACACACAATTCTGAGATCAGACATACACACATACATAGGCATAGACACATGACAAGAATTGGTGACTGTGGTCATTCGCAACCCGAGTCGCGCTACCTTAATAGAGATCCAGGATTCTCCCGTTGATGTAAGTGGGTCCGTCAGCAGGGGTGTGAACAGGACCAACTGTGCACTTATGGTCCCTGATGGTGTTTACCAGTTAAAACCAGCATGCTGCCACCTGTCTCAGCAGAGAGGACGTTTCGTCTCTCACACAAATCTGCTGCTTATTTAGTCATTAAATCATCAGTTTGCTTCAAATGTTAGAAATCATCTCTGCCTGATACTGCTCATCTAAAGCACCTAAAAAAAACCTTTCAGGTACAAAAAGAGTTAATTTTTTGAACACATCAATAAAGATACACATCAGTGATGGTCCATCACTGATGGAATATATTTCCACAGATATTTCGTACAACCTTGTCACCAAATGAGGACTCCGCCAGACAAAAACACAATAAAAAATAAACAAATAAATAATTCAAAGCAGAAGCTTTTAATTAATGCACGCCAGACACCCACTCATGTTCCCCATACACACCCTATTCACTCTGGTCCCAGTACTGCTGCACAAAGGGTACAACCATCACTGATTCCCAGAGTTCGACCCTTTCTGCTGGGGTGCTGATGAGCAGGCTCCCCCGCCCAACGCCGAGCAAATCGACCCACCACCCAGACCCCAGCAAGACGGCCAGATCCCCCCCTTGCCTCCAGCCCCGGGAAGCCAAGCGACAACAGAGGTGTGCCAAGACCCCAAGTCACCCTCCGCCTGCTCCAATATGGTGTTGGTGCATGTAGATGAGGTGTATTCGTGGCTGTGGTGAGCGGGCAGTGCAGGCATCATCTGGTCTATGCTAG